CATTTTAAATATTTTTTAAATATTTAAATAAATTCAATAGTAAATGCTGAAATGTGTAAATACGTCTGCCTCTGTAAGCATGCACAGAAACTTGCTAAAAGTAAAGTCTGACAAAGCAGAGCCCTCGACTGAGTCCTCGTTCCCATTTATACAGTAATTTCTACTTGGAAACCCCTGAGCACTTGCAGAGCTGAGAAAACACGCCTTGCCACAAGCAAGAATGATGTCCTTTTGTAAGTATAGCTTATATAACTTATATAGCTTAATATAAGCTGCTCAGAAATTCAAGATATTCCTCTGCGTATGACAGTGAAGTGAAATTCATGCTTATTCTCACAATCTATCCATAAAACTTGTACATCCAAGTAACGAGGGGCGAGACTCCAAAACTTTCCACCGATCTTACTCAGATGTTGTTTTTTTCTAAATTACAGTGAGAAAAATATTTTTTTTTCATATCGATAAGCTGTCATACAAATAAGATTTGGCTACATTTTTTATTTGCGTGCTCAAAGAAAATGATGGCATCAGTAATGTACAGGGGAAACTATAGTCACAGGCAACACATAGATAAAAGACAGGAAAAAGACCTCAAAAGTTCAGCGTCAGCTTTTTGTTGCCATTTTTCTCCTGCACTATCGACATGCTTTTTGTCGTCTGGCTCATTTTCTCACATGATAACACGCAGTTCAAGGAAAAAGAATCTTTTCCAAACAGGAAACAGAGAAAAGCTGGCTAATTTCCTTTATATTTTGCCCTTTTCTTATGGCTAGGGCTTATCTGTGAAGCAGGGGGACAGTATGTTTTCAACGCAATAGATTTCTGCAGACTTAATAAATATCACTTGCCTTGTGGGAGGATGTTTGATGATTAAACTGTCACTACATTGAATGTAGCAGCAGCCTCCGTGTAAAGTCAGCATGTGCTGACTGTTTTTTCTTGTGAGGCTAAAGATATTTCAAAACACCTTTTTATTTTTTCCATCTTGCTGTTTGTAAAGGCGCAATCCATTTTGTGAATTCATTTATTGAAAGGATTAAAGCTGGTCGAGAATTTAGCAATGATTTCTTACTGAATACTTTTAAAACAAACCATTTCCTTAAAGGAAAATTGCTTTATTTAAAAAAATTTTAAAAACTTCCTCTTTGTAAAAAATGAATTTATGTCAGGCAAAATTAACCGAGACACTTGAAACAAGCTAAATAATTTAGTAACATGAACAAACGTATAAAGTTAAGCTCAAACAAATTTTTTTTAGATAATGGAAAATAGCTGATTGATGTAAAATATTTTGTAGTGGGCTTCTCTTTGAGGACACTCAGGAGTCTACATCTCAGCCAGCGTTAGTGTGATGTTGGGGAAACAAAAATCCTCAAAATTGATGGAAAACCATTTCATACCTACCTTTCTTAGGAATAGTCTCTTTTGGAGGCTCTGTGCACGTTGACAGTATTTTGAAAGTAAATTGAGTTGTGGGTTTTGTACCTGACTCAAGGATTGCATGGCAATCCATTCTACGTTATTCTTTGGCAACAGCTCTCCCCTCATAAAACAAAATTTTGAGATGGACCATGTAAAACTAGAATTTATAAAAGCATTCAGAGCTTTTGCTATAGCTGAGTTCCACATCCATATTGTTCATAACATTCTTCTTCCCTAAAATATTCACGATTTCATTCCAGTAATATTTAAATGCTCCAAACTTTGACCCCAGTCACAGTGTAGCAGGTATTTAGTCTGAAGAGAGGCCATAATTTGTTCTTGGAAAAAGTTAGTCTTAAACATTTGATTAGATCTATTAATCACTCTACTTACATTTCTTTCAGTGTTAGTCTTCATGTGAAAATTATCATGCATAACTCACAAAAACTAAAAGCCAACTGATAATCTCTGCAGATCATCTACAAAGAGAATATGTGGCAAAAGAATGCTTGATAATTGTTCTTCAATTAAATGTTGTTTGATTAATTAGAAAACACACGATTTCTGACAAATTCAAAAGCCTGAGCAAAAGTCCTCATTCTCCTGTATTTATTGATTAAAAATGGTGAATGTGTAACCTGCAATTGCCCAGGTAGGATCCTGGTAGCTGAGCACAATTCTATGGATCATAAAGAAGCCTGCATAGTTCATTTATTTTTGTGAAAACTGGTTACAGCATAAGCAGCTAGAAGTTAAAAAAATGCAGTGCAATGAAGAAATGCAGTAATTCTACAGCCCAAGTGGGTAAGCCAAGTAAAGAATTCACTGCATCTGAGATACTGAGACAGCTTTAGACATGAACAACCCATTCATTGCCTTCTCAAAAGCTCCTGAAGTTAAGCGGTACAAGCAGTGCACGTGTACAGTGTCAGACCACACAAGTGCCATGTCAAAGAATCATGTAATTTTTAATGTTGAAGAGTTTCATAAGAGTGAATTACAGTTCTATTTTACTTGGGGATAGCCCTCTGGAAAAAGAACAAAATTAAATTAGTAATGGGACTGCATTTCATCAGTGCATACTAATAGCCTCCAGTTGTTACACAAGCTTCCCCATTCACATTAGAGGAGTAACCAATTATACACATCACTATCTTGAGCTGTGAAATTTTGATTCATGCCCCCAAAAGATTAGAATATCAATTAAAAATGTTGTGCAAGTGCAAAAGATAAGTGTGAAGCTGATCCCCACAAATAACAGAGTTAAATTGCTTTTTCCTTCTTTAACTTAAGCCTCATTGTGGAAAAAGCTGCTTTTTTTTCCATTTTATATATATATTATGCATTCTGTTGCCACCTCTACAGAAGCGTAAATTCAGCATCCCGAGCCACATGCATACCGATAACGACACAAACGCCAAAGGCTGATCATAAATACTACCATATACCTCTGCTATAGTCATTCTCATAGCACTGACAGGTGAGGGCTCAATATCCACCAGCTGAACTGCATTAAAGCTCTAGATGCAGAGATTGCACAAGGATGAAAACGCACAGCAGCAAAGGTTAGAAAGGCAGGGCAAAGACAGTTAGAAAGATTCTGCTCACTGACAAGAACAACCAAAAACTTTATGTAAATAACTGACTCTATACAAAGGAGCTGGGAAAAAAAAATCAAAATCACAGTTTGTTAAAATGGAATGACAAAGGAAACTGTGTTACAGATGTTAGCATGTCTGCAAAAATCACTCTACATATCTATTAACAGGGTTTCTTGAATTTAATCACCTGAACTGGAGATCAAGACATTTCTGTCCAGTTTACTAATGAAGTCAAGTAATAAAAAGCTGCACAAGGGTAACTTTTTTAAAGAGCTAGACTTTTAAACTGTTATTTCTTAAAATAGTAATGTTGGTGGGACATCAACAATCCACTTTTATTAAAGTGCTGTTTGGAAATGTATTTGCATACTATGATTTACTCAGTTTTAATGTCTTAATGATTGCTTTGGAAGCAACATATGCACCAAAATAATATTTTCCGAGATTATTTTGGAATGCAATGTTTTAACAGTATTCTTTCTAAATCAGTAACTTCTTACATGTATGCATGAATATTCATGGAGTAATTTAGAGGTATATGGACACTTTATTTGGCACAGCATCACATATGTTGTAGCCCAGTATTAGTGAGTATTATGAGAATCTCACCAGCAGGATAAAAAGCTAACAAAATGTAGTAAGAATTATGCTGAAAGCAGAGAAATACAGGACTGCTAGTCCCAATCTGGAAGCAAAAAAGATTCTGCTCTTCTGTGGATGACGTTGAGCCTGTTTGATGGTTTTGTTATGATTACCTACCTATTGCAAGCAGAGCTGGTGGAATCAGGCCACTTTCCCTTTCTTTTCCAAAAATATAGCATGAGGTTAAACCAGACTGGGATAGTGAGCACTATTCTCTTACCCATTTATAACAACATTCTTAAAAATAGAGCAAGAACAAATAAATGAAGGAATTCAGCAGGGTTCTTACAGTGTCACTGTCACTTGGTTGGAACTGGAAAGGCTGCGGTTTGTGAAACACAGAGTTCTCCTGTAAAAACAGCTGTAGATTGTAATCCCGCACCACCTGAGAAAATAACAAATGCCATTTAGAGCCGTTATTTTGTAAACTTGAAAAAATGCTACAGTAAAATTAGTACATTATTTCAAACAGAGACAGAACCTTGAATGCAACAAAAGGAAATACAGGACCTGATTCTGGGCAGTACTACCCACAGTTATTCAGAAGTGACTGGCAGGACACACACTGAACAATAGAGACCTAAAAAATACCTGCCATTAACCAACGAAAAATACTTCAAAGGTAAAATGGGGAAAAAAGTCAACTATCAAGTATACAGTATGTGGTGTCACCACCACAAATATCTTTCTCTCCTCTTGTGGATAATTTCTTGTACACAGTTCATTCTTAAGCTGAAATGTCTTATTTTTACACAAATTATTAGTTGCAGGAGCTGAAAAGACTATTTGGAATAATGCATACAAAATCAGTTGCAAAATTCATCTCTTTATACTAAATTGCTTTCAGAGAAAACTCTCATAGCTTGCATTTTGTTAAACCAAAACTACTTCAGCTACTAAATTTGTTTAATGATACATTTCAGATAGCATGACACGTATCCCTAAACAAATCTCTTATGTCACAATTTACACATATTTATAAAGAAAAACTCAGTGATTGCAATATGAAAAAATAGTATCACTGGTTGAAGAACTCTAGATAGTATACACTGCTTCAATTGATGAAAATGCGTAAATAGCAACATGAAATTATAAAAATCTACTACCAAACTGAGGGCTTCAATGTACAGAAGTGTATAATAAAGATGGTATTTATCCAGAAATAGCAGCAGCATTGTATATGACTGAGAATTCTGGTTACACTGTATGTACAATAGTAAATACAGCATGTTCTCCAACGCATCAAAATGTTGATGCTTGTGTTACCGAAATACTGAATTGTAAAAAATTAATCTTCAGTTAAAAAAAGTAAATAGTCCTCCAGGGCCAATAATGCACTCATTTAAAACAGTAAAGTACATAATTACTGCACCAATTTGAGCAGTTGAACGTAAACACATTCAAATGCGTAGAAATCATACAGAGAAGGCATACAGGGAGTCTGTATTAGGAATTTCCATAAATAGAAATTTGGAAAATACTAAAGAAGGAATCATGTGCAGCTTCAGATGGTGCTCAGCAATGGCATCGAGATCATTTATGTTAAACAGCTCCAGTCTTCACATAGTCCTTTATATATATGTGAACACCAACTGTAGCACACAACTCTGTGCCATGTCAAATATCTGAAACTATTTTAAACCAACTTCCAATTAGAACGAAATCTGAAAGTGTAGTTACTGAGGACATGAAAACCTATAAAGTTATTTTAATGCAATAAGCTTTCATTCTAGACCTCTAACTCAAAAGCAACTCAGTTCTTCAAAGAAGAAAAACCACCTTTACAACAGCACTCGTAAGAAATTTTCCCTCAAAGCAACAATACTTAGTTATAAATGAGAACAACTGTTATCATAACGTGAGACTTGGGAGAATGTGCAAGTCCAGCAAATTAATACCCCAGAGCATTTTGCACAATATATTTGACAACTGTTAAAAAGAAAATAGAAAGACACCTAAGCAACACAGTATTCTCATGATTAAGCAGCAACTCTTCCAAATGGATTTCCTGTTATTCAGAAATTAAGTCAATGTTCTCACGCAGTTTCTTTATGAAGTCAATGTCAATTGACATGTTAAAACAGACTTGAAATCAAATGTGAAATACCTACCATATGCAGAAAGAAGGCATAATCAGAGACATGCCTAAATGAAATTATTTGCCCTAGCTTGGTGAAGCTTCCTACCAGAAACATCACAGAAATGTTATTCGAAACAGCAAATGGAATTTCAGAAAATGTTCCAAAGAAAATCAGATTTTTTCCAAAAGAGAAGTGCACGAAGTACAAGTCTTGAATAAGACTGTTCAAGTGAAAAGGAAGTTAAATTGCATTTTCATATGCTCAGTGTCAGAGGGTAATATTTCCTGGACATGCCAGAGGAATGACATGGGTCACCCCAACCTAGCAGTAATAAAACCTCCAAAGCTGCAACAAACAGTGCTACGATAAGCTGTGAAAAACCTTCATTTTATACAGAAAACTTGTTTTTGAGATGTTTCCCTCTATCTGCATTAGCATTAGGTGACTGACAGTCTCCCAAGCAGCTGAATACAACACAGCCTTGCCCATCCGAAGCAGCCACCTCTGGCTCTCCGACACTCAAGAGGTAAGCAGGCACTTCTGGGAAGCAACTTGTCTTGTTCTAAAACAAATACAATTTAATTCCATCCTGTAAACAGAAATATGGTTTACATGGAAAAACTAAAGCATTTCTATCAATGATCTAAAGTGTCTTTTCTAAACGTAGCTTGGCAAGCTTGTGATTTTGTACTTAAAACTAACAAAAAACAGGTGAAATACTAAAAAAACCACAATAAATATTTAAATCTTTGCTTTGATAGCAAGCTGGTTTTTATTCCAAATTACTAACTTGCTAACAAATTTGTTACATATTTAACAGTCAAGCTACTTTTGAAGCACATGCATAGCTTTTGATGTAGAGCTTCTGCACCGGATTCACCTCTCCTTTTTGTGCTGATTCCTGCAATGCGGACCTACAAGAAATGCTTAAAGTTCAAAAGAAAGGATGAGCAAAGCCTTCGTCCGTGGAATAAGCCACCGATTAACGTGTTTAGTATTTCAGAGCAAGACACACGTTTTCAGTAGTAATGTAATACAAATTTTTCTTCTCTGCATTCTTGAACTACAAGAAAATTGGTGCTGATGAGCTATAAACCAGTTGTAAAAATCCTGTTCTGACCTGACAGCTGTATTTACATTTTTGTTCATTCTCCAGGCATTGTACTGAGTAAAGCAGAAACAGAACTATTTTCCTCAAACATACAGTATGACATTACTGTATAAAATAAGCCAGACCTGCAGGCTTCTGGCCACACAGAGGCTTGCTAACACAAGCTCTCACAAGCTCAGCGCACACAAATATACGGCGAAGGTATTCCTACGCAAATGAGCTGTTTAGAAATGACAGTTTAGTTACATGAAAGTCCCAGACAGGCAATATTCCAAATATTCTGATCACAAAGCATTGAATACAATATTGAGAAATTAACTATGAATATGTAGACATTATATAGAAGCATATTTATTTAAAAGATTCAAAACCAGCATTTTTGGGGAAGATATTTTAAGCCGACTCGAATGATATACACCAAGGTAAATTATTGAAAGTCTTTTTCCAACAGAAGATAAAATGGTATTTTCATTATCTTTACAGTTGCTGCCAAGTAAATTCAAAGACAAGCTAGCACAAAGCCAACTTTTAATCCACTCGTTTTGTATCTAATAAGGTGAGAGTTAGCATGCTCGCAGGTGAGTAAGGAACATGTTAAATATGTTGTTTCTACGTAAGTCCCTGCATAAACGAGCTCTGTTTCTGTGCGGGTGGTTAAGGTATCCGTATAAAGGAACACTATGACCGCACCAAAGCGGCTCCTTTGAGCTCAATGGCAATTTTTTTTTTTTTTTTTTTTTTAGCCCAGAAGATGAATTATTTAAGTATCAAAATTATCCTGGAAGCGATCACGTATTCCTGATTCTGGCTGCTCAACAAAGCAAACAAACCACGTCTATGACAAGACTCTAACCTGTTTTCTGTATTTGCCATTCTTAATTCAAAGGAGAAAACGCCGTAATGTTTTGGTTTTTAAGTTGATAGTCAATTATTAAGAAATGATCCAAACAGTTTCACAGGGCTTTACTGTGATGGATGACTAATGTGGTTCCACATTACCCAGTGCAGAACTCAGCTGCAATTTCTCTTTCCAAACAGGCAGAGTGAGTATAACTGAACATCTCTTGATTGCTGTTCTCTAAAGACTTGTACTGTTTAAATGCACTCATGAGAATGCAATCTGGGTGGCAACAGGAAAAATTCTCCCCGAGAAAACTGTCTAGTTTCTTTTAACTTAATACCACTCAGGAGTAACCAAAAATAATAACCACTCAGTTTTGTCATTATTTTGGAAGCAAATCTTAAGCCTGGGAACTTATATATGCTGTAAGTGTTCAGTTACAAAAGATCATTCAGTAAAAAACTTACCCTGCTGGAAGTCTCCAGTAAAAACTGGAATGTGTTTTGTACAGCTTGGCATGTCTCTAGTTCAGTCCTGCTGACTGCCATTAAATAAAAAAATCATATACATTTCCATCAAGAGCCTGTATGAGAGAAAGAATTTGAGAAAATTAAGAAAGAAATTAAGAAAAGCAATGTGTACTTTTGTATATGATTAATATTCATGTTTAGGTTTGTAAGATGCTCATATAATTTCTTTTAACACATATTCACCTATAATTATTGGCCTGGATAGTGACAGGTGGACATCTTTAATTTTTGACAAGGAGGAATGACAGTGCTTAATTTCCATTAGATGGCACCACAGAGCACCGTAACAATATCACATTATATTAAATTATTTCCATCCAGTTGTGTAATATGGCCATAGCAGAGCAGTGAGGTCAGGTTTGGATAAGTGAATACATTCGGGGAGATGTCATTTATGTCAAGAAAGGGACCTAGTAACTGGAAGGATATGGGGCTTCTACCAGCCCGAGCACTCTTCAAGTCACTGTACCGCACTCCAAATGACATTACCAAGACACTCAACATCTGTATGTGTCAGATACACAGCTATTTGCTTATTAAAAACTGCTGATCAATAGCTGCCATTTCACACTAGCACAACATATCTCTTCTGTGCACAGAAATACCAAATACATAACAAAAATGTATCGTGAACTTAGTAGTTACCAGAGGATGACGAAGTTCAAACTCAAAAGCCCTGTTGTAACCAGAGCCGTAAAATCACATCACATGGCCTAGGTTACATGTAGGTTGAATGCAAGTTCTGTATGTCTGCATGTACGACTTTGCAAGTGACTGAACATTTCATTTAAATATTCAACTCTGGATATATTTAAATATATATTTCACAGATATCCGTTTCAATAGTATATTCATTGAAATAGCGTATACCAGATTTCAACAGATTCAAGAATGCATTTCTATATAAAATTGCATTTGATTATATAAATCACTTTGAAAAGTCAGGGGGAAAAAAAAAAAAGGTGAAATTGTGCAAGCCTTAAGAAATAGTTCCTGCCCCAGCAAAATCAAGCCAACATTTAAGACGAGGCTAACAGACACATGTAAAGTAGACACAAATCACTCAGAAGTGATGACGAACAGCAGAAGAGATTTTCCTTCTGCAAAAAAGTTTCACCCACCATCAGCACACAGCTACAGCAACCACCAGATAAAATTAAAACTTAACATACAGACATCCTTAGTGAAGGATGCTTTGAGGAAAATAATAAAATTGTGCAACTGGAATTCTCGTGTCCAAAATTTTATATCCAAAATCCACTTTATACTACACTCTTTTCTTCATCCTCCACCTACCAAGTGTAAAGTACTTCCTGGCACAGGCTGATTTTCTCCTTCAATCTTAGACATTAAACCTGCCTCAAACTTGCTAGTGCAAAAACCACGGCCATCAGAAAACAAACAGATAGGCCGCCATGCCAAACTAGCAGCAAATACGGGAATTTCTTTCAAGCCACCACAATGTGGCCGGCTCACTCAGCCATGCTGCCAGCTACCCGTATCAAAGGCCGGTCTCGAGGGGTCAGCAGCCAGGGCAGCAACTTGAGGCCCCCAGCCACGGGAAGGCTCTGTTAAGCGAAGGAAGACGCACCGTATGGCTGGGAAAGAGCTATAGGTTAACTTCTCCAGGCTCTTACAAGTGATGTCAGCTCTACCAAATACACTGTTAGGCATCATTTTTTTAAAAATTCTTACTAAAATAATTACGTAATATGAGCTTATGGCTGGGATGTTCATCTGACAAAGATGTCAGGAAATTCCCAACCGCAAATCCATAAAAACTTACAGCGATACACATATGCAGCTTCAGTTCTTGTCTCTCTTGGTATAGGCACAGCTTTACTGGAATTCATCTTGCAACGCACATGTAGTTCATAAAGCATAGTCCTAGGTTAGCATGAGGATTTTAACACTTCCTGTGCTTTTATAACGCTAAACGGATGAGCCCTCAGTATCATAGTTATATGAGTGCAAAGTTAGCATCCCATTTCAAGGGCATTTGTTTTCACATCAAATACGTACAGTCCCAATAGCAGGTCTGTCTTGCACTTTCAGAGAATACAAATGATGTATAAAATTGCCAAGACTGGTTGTGCCCTCAGGAGAATTGCTGCACGACCATGGCAATCCTGAAACTCCCCCAAAACGGAACTTGCAGACTTTTATGATCAAGCATATCTGTTCCTAAAGCTTTTCAGATCAAACACCGGGCTGGAGAGCAACTCTGCTAATAAATGTAAATAAATAGTTTAAACTTGGCAAAGCAATTATAAATGCTCAGTTTGCAAAGCAGCTGTGATTTTTTCATTCCAGTATGCTATAAATGAGTATTTCAGAGCTCGCTCCCCCTGCCTTCATATCAAGCCCATATGTTCTTTTTATGTTAAACCCAGCAGGAGGGGTTCATGTTATTTAACTTAAGACTTCTACAGTGCAGACGTCTACGTCGGAGTTTGTCACTCTAGGTCCTTTTTAGAGTAATGGAGAGAAGTTGGTACTTCTGTGGTGTGATTCATCTCCCTCTAAGATAGATGGCTAAAACAGGTCAGATGAAACACAGCATGCTAAGTGCCTATTCCTCTTCACTGACCGTAAATAGCGCCCAGACAATTAGCTTAGATATACACGTCTACGCGGTGACCGTACAAAGCTGGGTGAGATGAAGCCCATCTCAACATGTGTTTATTCTCTGCAACTGTTATCTACCAAGCACTAGGAATTAAATTCTTCTTCTACAGCTATATTCTATAGTTCTAGGAATATAAAAAGATATATAAACTTTAATTTCATTTTTCCCTCACTTCTCTTTCAATGACCGCAGCTCTGAAGTTTTGTGCTAAAATGCCAGAATACCCCCCTCAATGTGATATAGAGATATAGAAGAAAGATATATAAGAAAGAACAAAGTGTGTCAAAACATTAGGAAGCATACAAATCTGTCAGCATGTGAATACTGCATTACAGCCCTTCTCCTTTCATTAATTAAAAGCGGTTTCAATATGATGAAGTTTTTAAATACCGATGAGAGCTGCCAGAATTGAAGTTATTAAAGTCAGCGCAATACAACACAGGCACATTTGTCAGCCAAGTACACCCACAGCTAAGCGCGCAGTCCAACACGCTAAAAAACTCATCATTGCACAGAAAAAGTGACAATCCCATCAGTTACAGGATTAGAGAGCTGGTTGGTTACAAATTGCTTTCAATGATAACGTAACTATTCATTCTATAAAATGGTAATTATTACATCAAGCTGGATATGTTAATATTAAAACAAAAGATTTGACTTGCTGAACTATACAATATAAATTAACATTCACGTGGGATTTTATAATATCTAATCTGAACCTCATTTACTTACAAACACTCTAACCCAAACCACTGAACATCACAATTTAGGTTAGAAATAAAAAGTCTTTTCAAAATTTCTGATCACACCACTTGAAGAGAAAACTGGGGTGTGTGTGAGGGGGGTGGGAGATCAAAAAAACCCAACACGCATTATTTCACTACAATGGCTTTTGTTCTCTTTCTGAATCTCAAAAGATTACTAAATCACTTACTGTATTACAATCGGACTGAAAAACCTGTCTTTTTCCAACCTCAAAAGGAAATCAAGATTTTTTTTTTTTTTTAAAAAAAACAAATCTAGCATCAGAATGAAGAGAATATGAAGTTAAGTACTATGGAATTACCATTTCCAAGGACAGCAAAAAATTTATGTTTTTTAAGAAATAATTTCTTTACAGTGAAATTGTCATACTAAAGGTAAAAAACTACTTCCTCACCTGAGTCCAGAGATAAAGGCTGAAATTAGGACTGACAAAAATTGAAACTGTTAACAAAGGCAATGGATACACAACCAAATTAAAGTGTATTTTTATAAGGAATCCTATATGTTAATTCAAATCAATAAAATGATGGGGGGGGGAGAACATTTTTCTGGTTTCAACATAAAGTTTCAAGTACAATGTAACACAGTTTTCCTAGGAACAAAATTTCAGTCCCCATATAGATCATAATTTTGAGGAGGTTTTTCTTTTTTGATTCAAGAGATTATACTAAACATTTTAGAAACTAACTTCTATTCTATTCTAACTCATATGCGTTGGCTTTAATCATTCTACATTCTAAAAAGATTTCCTCAAAAGCAAAGATGTAAATAAAACTATTTTAGATATCATTAGTATATTTGGTTGCCTTTGGGACATTGCTCTTAATTTAAGATGCTAATGTATGATGTAGAAAAGACACCGTGTTGAACATCTCATGTTCATTCATGTAACTTACTTCGAGGTCTCTTCACTAGAACATTTACAGGTCTCAGTCACATTCCATTTAAAAATTACCATTTCAATTTCTTGGAGAAGACAGAGAACAAGCTAAACTACTATGCATTTTTTGTTTTAAAAGACTCATTCCTTCTCAAATCCCAAAGAAACAATGGAAATTATTTGACCTGTGCATAATGCAGACCAGAGTCGTGCAAAGGCACCAAGGGCAGGTCTTCCATTTTATCTCATTTATTTCTGAAATATTCCTGTTATTCTATTCATGTTTGTCTTGCACAGAAACTGCTAAGCCATGCTGAAGCTTTACTAATATTTTTACAGTTTAGAATCAGGTGTTCAAATTAAACCTCTCATTTAGTGATCTGAATCCACCAGGCACCAAATCCTGGACCTTACAGTACCAAGTTAAAAAAACACAATTAAAACCACACTTGTAAAGCCACGTGTGTTTTCACTGACTAATTTACACTAGCCTCATCTGAATCATCACTGCCTATAAATAATTTCGTATTTTTAAACACGAGCACTTATATTTTTGTATATTTTTGAACTCCCTAACCCTCACTGGAACCCCACTCTTTCGATAAGACGACCATTGTGGATCAAATGAAGTTTTCATTTGTAAACACCCAACCTTTTGTGAGTTAATGTAACTCAACAGTTTACCTGTGTGTCGTGGTTTAACCCCACGCAGCCGCTCACTCACCACCCCCCCGCTCCGGTGGGATGGGGGAGAGAATCGGGAGAGCACAAGTAGGAAA